TATAAGAATACTGTTATTTATAATTTTCTTAGCGGGGATTGGAATATCCTACTCAATTTTTCTAAATTTTATTTAAAATTGGCACCTAACTATCACAAGGGAAAAGGAAATATTATTAATTTTGATGATTGCATACTTATTTACGTTAAAAATTATATTATATTTAAAGAAATGGACATTTTTTATAAATTTTTTTTTATTCATTGGTTTATAAATATACCCCAAACGGCGGCTATTAGATGATTAAGGGGTTTGGACCACACCAGTCTTAGACTTCCGGATCAAGGTTTGGAACCCCTTTTCCCCTCCGACCCAAAAATATTTAGACCCTGGTTTAAGAATTTTAGTCATTTTATGACCAATTTCTAACAAAAGTAAAAAAACGCTAGTAGGCTGCATAAAAAACTTGATTTTTATTTTGTTTTTTTACTCCTAATGTATTAACATACAACTGACCTAGCCTTGATTGACGTTTTTTCAAAATTTTTTACTATAATTTTTTTAAGATGCAATAAAAATAGTGATGACGAATCTATCGTATAACCCGACCTAGATTAAACCTGTCTGGACCTCCTTAGACCGAACCCATTTCAAATTTCACCTTGTAACCTAATTGTTTTTTTTCCACAACCTAACTTGGCGAAAGTTTTTGTCGGGTCCAAATCCCTTGGATTAAATGAATAACATTTTTTAAACCATAAATTTTACCAATTCTCTACTTTATTCATATTAAATTTTTTTTATCTTTATTTTCCATCTTTCTTCTGTAAGAAAAATGGGAATAAAAATTAAGAAAATTTTTTCTCTCTCAAATAAACACGTGCATACATGCATTATAATTTTTTTTTATAGATCTACCAAAAATAAATATTTTTTTTGTAACATAAATTACCAAAATCTGATTTATTTATTATGTTAAAAATTTAATAAACACGTAAAATGTATCCTCTAAAAAAATACGAAAAATTATCTAACGATTTTTATACGAATTTTTCTTCTTCTAATACATACGTTACACTTTTAGATATCAATTTTTGTTTTATAATATATTATTAAACTAAGCCTGAAATCGCTATATTTAAGAAACTAAGAATCGAATAAAGAAAAGAACGAGGAGAAGAAAACAAACTACGGACTGAATGAACCACCGGAAAAAAACATAAGAAAGAAGAAAGGAATTACAATATTTCTGGGAATTGCTTTCTTGCTTTTTTTTATTAAATCTCTCAAGAAAAGTGCTAAAATGGCAGAAAACATACCAACCTGAAATATAATTAGAACTTAAAATTATGTCATTCCAACTTTGCATTTTAAGCAAAGATCTGTTCGAGGATAGAGTCTTTAGCAAGATGGGCAGGAGGGTTCAATTCAGGCGCCATTAAAACGATGACATTGATAGGAATCAATGAAAACGGAAATACAAATGGTAGGAGAAGCTTTTTTCGCCCATTTTTAAATGGGATATAGTGGAATTATAATGCATTATTTGTCTCTTGTAAAAAAAAAATTAAAAATGTTGAAGGGTTTTCCAATGATGATCCATAAACGCCATCCCTTTAAAGACCTGTCCGGAATCGGGATTGGACGGACTCAACCTCTTTAAGTTTTGGACATGGGCAGACTTGTTCATTAAAATATAAGCAATATTTGTAATTTTTATTGCAAATCGTATGTTAGATTAAATTTTTGTCCTTTATCTATCAATATCAGATACTTGCAGAGTTACCATCTGCCCGGTTCGGGTTTGAAAAAAATTTGGTCCGGCCCGGGTTTTACTTTCGGGCCTGACCCGGATTTTTTTTGGATTTCTTTAAAAAAATTTCAGTCAGGGTGTGTAAATATTTTCTACGGGTTTGGTTATAAAAAAAATTGAAATATATATATATACCTATTCGGTAATCGGATAGTTTTTCATCGAATATGAAATCCAATAATAACTTTTCAAATTATCTCATCTCCCCATATGTAGTAAAAGGAATGAGTTTGAATCACCACTCATTCCATTTGACTGATCGATAGTAATTTCCATATTTCCTGTTCCTCTTATAATTTAATATAGTCTTTCATATAATTATCAGTTATTTCTAGCGTTCTCCCTGGCAACGTAATTGCCTGAATTTAGGACAGAGAAAAAGAGAAATAAAATGATAACTCATCTAAAATAAATTTTTCCCTTAGAAAGTGCATTATATTTTAAATATCGAGGGCATCTTTGTTGCATTTAATTTGATTGTGAATCCTAAAAAATGATTAGTTGAATAATATTTTATTTGAAATATTTAGGATTCATATGATAAGCGAATGAATGCGATATATTGTTCTATGATATATAATTTTTTATATTTTTATAGATAATGATTAGCGATTTAAAAAAGCCCATCCCGAGTAATTTTTTAAAAAAGTTTTTTAGACCACTTTCCCCCCCCTCCCCCCGGGTATATTTTAAAAGAAAATACGTATACCAATGACATGCAATAATACCTAGATTGACGATGCAATCATAATAATGCATTTGAAAACTTCGTTGAATGCAAATCAGCTTGACCCGTCATTTTGGTAACCCATATAGTAATTATTCTCATGTTAAAAACTATTATAAAATTGATAACTTGCTTCCTTATTAATCTCGATGATCAGGCTATTCTTTAATAAAGTTTGCGTCAGACATAGGAATAAATTGGCCCCTCGTTTAAAATTTCTAATAATGATATGGGTAAACAAAATGGTGTCCCCTGCTGTTTTAATTGATGATCAATTTTAAAGAAAGCATCTTTAGTCTAGGTATTATTATATGTCATTACCTTATATCCAGGTTTAAGACCGGACCTGTAGGCTTCTGATGAATATTATACCCAGGCACTTAATATTTTGAACCATCTGATTAAATGTCGCTTCATTTTTTTTAATAAACATTGTATGTTAGTTTTTTTAATAAAATCAATTTTTTTTTACAATGTTTAAAAAAAAAGACCGACCTAACTTTAAAATTTGTAAATCGGACGGGATTGGGCGGATCTGGCTCGGAAATGGCGGATACAAAAATAAAACCTAAATGGCTTACAGATCCGTCACAGCAATAACATACCTAAGCAGAGTTTCAGGCCCGGATCGATTCTTAAACCCCATCGGGACTTTTTTCTGTTAGGGATTTTGCCGGTTCAACCTTTTATGGAAAAATTTAAATGAACTAACCTCATCTTAAATTTACCCTTTCTTTAGAAGTTCATTCTGTATTTCACCACTTTCTTTATATTTTTACGATTATAATTTATAATATAATTAAGTCATTTTTGATGATTATTTGATTTTTTTTTCTTTGAATATATATTTTCTTTTTTTTTTCAAAAAAAAATATATATATTTAACTTGAGGCTATATTTTGTCAATTGTAAGTTGCTTTTTTTTCGGTAAAATACCATTAATATTCATTATTATTTACGATTTTTTTTAATCAAAAATATCATGTCTATAGTTTTAATTCTGCAATTCATCTATCCATAAGTACCGAAATACCATCGTAATTCGGAAATGTAACCTTAGACGCATTCGTATATGTTATGTTTTGAAATCCCCCTTAAAAACTTGACACTCTTACGCTGCGTTCATAGCAAACGCGTTAGCTTTGAGTATTGCGTTATTTAACGCAGCGTTATTACAGCAGATTTAATCGAATTCGCTAATTTTACAGTGGTATCGCATTTTTTTTATCAACGCGTCGTAACATATGTTTTTCGAATTTTATCATAACGTTATCATCATAACGCTTCATATTTATAAATTTGTACCTATGGGATTTTGCAATAACGCTTGAACAAAACGCGATTACTGTAAATGCGTCCTTAGGGAAGGGGGCAATATAATTTTAATTTTGAGCGTCATCTTTCCTCTCCCTATCTTTGCCTTGCTATCGATTCGAACCCTAATCGCGATACTCAATTTTAACGCTTTTGAGAGATAGCCTTATTGAATCACGACGGCCTATCCAAGTTTTTAACCTAAGAGGCTTCTTTCAACTCAGAGGTTGAAAAGCGGTTTTTAACACAACAAAAGCTTGGCTGAGTCGTTTCATTGTTGGTAAAATTAGATGATTCTAACAACAATCATTAATAAATGATAAAATAGACTAACCCCTCATCCACATTTGCGTCGAAGTATATAAAATATGCTGTGGTTTTATATTCTCCCCCGCGAAAACTCTGAATGCAAGGTAAGGGTACCTCCAAATTCAGTAGAAAAAAAAATAAAGGTTTAAGTATTTTAACCTTACCTCTCATTGGACAGATTGCGTGTTAAATTGCCTTAAACCTTTAATCTGTTTTTTCGAGTTTCGACATACCTTTGTAAAAAGCTGATAATTATATAATTTCTTAAAAAGTGTCATTTTATATATTTTTTCACTATTTGAATTTAGTTTTGCGTGTATAATATAAAAAAAATGTTATAAAAATATTAAGGGGCTTCAAAAATAATTGCCAGTCTTAATTTAATTACTTCATTCTTAATTAAAATATTGGTCTCACTGACACCTGCATTGTCGAACAAAATTCTATAATCTTCAAAGCATCCAAAAGTTAAAAGATGTCAACTTTTTTTATACCCTGCATTCATAAATGTCGCGAATTTTCGGTGTGAAGTAGTGTTGTTAAATGACTCATTTTGAGCCGATTTTTAAAAACGGCCAACTCAATATTTTATTAGGAAAAATTTTTATGCAAGCTTTAAAATTTTGCTCATAGGTGGCACAAAGGTTTTAACATCTATTAACGAAATCTCGAAGCTCAGACGATATAGCTACAATATTGATTTAACTGTTTTTAAAAATCTGCTTAAATCGAGGCGTTTAACAACACTAGTGTGAAGTATATAAAAATACACAGCATATTTTGTATATGCTTCTTATGGCAGATCTTTACCTTTACACATTATGATTACTAATCTTATTATGATGTTATATCTCTTTTCAAAATATTTAATTTTTTACTTTTTTTATCACCTAACAGTGTTTTTCTTGCGCTGCGTGGCCACCAACGCCCAATTCAATCAATGCCACTCCGGGGGCCATTGCGAAATGGACCTATACACCAGGCGAAAATGCCAGTACTGCAGATTCCAGAAATGCCTGGCCGTAGGGATGAAACCAGAATGTAAGGGCACTATTTACTTTACACTTAATTGTTTTTAAGAAAGGTACGAAGAGAGAGAGCTCATAGAAAAGAAATTAAATAATATTATACAAGTGCAGATACCCAAATAATTTATGATTATTATTAAAAGCGTAATTATGCTCTACAAAGAGTATCTCAATAGAAATAGGATATTTTCTAACCAGCTGATTCTACACTTTAAGGGTAGTATCAATATGAGTGAACCGCCGTATTCACCAGGAAACCTGAGTGTTTAAAATTGTTTTGTAAAAGCGGCTAATTTCGCTCTTCCTTAATTCGAAAAAAATTAGCTAGGCCTTAAGGCGTATGTTAGAAGGCTCGGCTTTAACCAATTTCTTAGTCGGCACATAAATAGCCATTAAATAGGCCATTTTTGATATTAGCGTAAAATGTTCAATCATTTTATTTACGCGCGAAATTTGTTTTTTGGTGGGTATTAATTTTTTTAAAATTAAACATGTATGATCAGGCGTAATACTAGATCGCCAGCGATCACGACAAAACGATAAAAATGCTAATGCCAACACTTCTAACCTTATTAATAATACCTCTAACCCCAAGACGGCGGATACTAATCAATCATCGTCTAATGCGAACTCTCCGCCTACCCCTCTGTCTAATAATAATCCCGCCTCCCTACCAAACACATTTGGTTCTGCAGGTAATCAACAGCACATTTCCTCCCAAACCACGAACGGCGCATCATCGAACTTAAAATCTCCCAAAAATGCTGCAAACCTTAACAATTCCAACCCTTTGAACGGGAAAATTTCGGCCTCCACCATAATTCTGGCCAATAAAAAACTTTTGAAAGAACGCGAAGATTTGGCCAATACGAACGATGTTAACAACCAATCCGATATCGTCTCGCCTCCTTCCCTTCTTTCCCATGCCCTTCCTCACAACTACCTCTCGCAAAACGGGACAGAAATACCACACTCTTCCTCCAAGAGCACGACTGTGGTCGATGATAAAAATACCCATTCAAACCCTGATCCGAATCCCGTTTCTGGTGTGAGCAAGAAAAGAAACAATGTCAATAACATAAACAATGGGGGCAGCCATAATAAACTCCAGTCTAACGGTTACCAACAAAATTCCTCTACTAACGGAACAGAAAATTTGAACATGGCCAACCCTAATCAAAGATTCCACCTTCAAAATAGCGAGGACGTTTACAAATTCGGGTCTAGCTCGGAATTCAACAACCATCACGAAATTAATAATCGCCATCTCAACGCTAACACCGGTTTCAACAATAGAACCGGAATCACCATGAATAAAGGTTTTTAACCCGTTCTCGAAAATATTATTCTTGACAATAGGATCGGGAAATTCAAAAATCAAAAAAAAGCGCAGTTAAATTTTTTTTAGTTTTGAATTATTGAAACAAAAAAATAATTTAATTTTGCTTTCCCAGCCCTACTTAACATAGTATTTTGCAATTGATTTAAGCGGCCTGGGGACCCTAAAAAATGGTCACCATGCCTTTTAAATATCGATCCTATTTTCTAAGAATAAAATTATTGTTATTATAGATTACCCCATTAAATCGAAACATATTTGCTGGAGGGAGGGGATAGGAATCTTGAGTAGCACTTTAGATTAGTTTTATTTTCTATTATTCGAAATGGCCCGTTTCTAACCATAAAAATTTGAACCCTCATTTGGGAGAACAGTATATATATATATATATTATTTTGGTTAAATAACAATTCGATATCATTTTTTCTCGCAGTAATTAGTAACGGACTCGATAACGTTATCAAAACAGAAAATACGCACTATTCAAATAACGATTTCTCATCCAAGCCACCGGTCAATGGGAAACTCGCCTCGTCATGTCCACCTGGCATGGATCCCGAAAAGAGTGTCCCAAATTTTGCAAATCTTCCCGCTTCGGTCCCGGCGGCTTTCAATAACCAACAACAAAATAACAAGTCACTAATAGCCCCTCACGGCCACCAATTCCCTAATTTCCCCGGTGGCCATTGCAATTTTAATTTCCAACACAATGGCGCGAATTGCAAGGAGGATAGTAATAATAACGCGGATGATCTGAGGCCGGAGCAGCGGAAACTGATAGAAAAACTTGTATTTTATCAAGACCAATTCGAATTGCCTAGCGAGGATGTCGTCAAAAATATAGAGGTTTTTTTAAAAAAAAACAAAGTTGTTATTGTGAGTGACAGACACTTATTTATTGGTTGGGCTTCTTAATATCAAGAAAGAAGGTAATAAATAAGTATTACTTAGATTTTTTTATTAGTTACGTGCAAAGGTGATTTACTTTTCCGGATACAGCTGTACTAAAATTTATGCCTATGAAAAGTTAATTAACTTTGGACCTAGGAGAACCTATTTAGAAAGTTTTAGATAGATGGACACTCAAAGTCATCGATTAATATTACGGATTTTTGGTTATAATATATTTTTGTCTGTCAAGAATATTATTTTACTGTCAAAAATATGATTGGTTGTGACTGTGAGTTATTTTTTTATTTTTAACGGGGATTGGTTAATTTATTTTTTAATACTTAACCAATCAAATAAGTAAACCTCAATTTACCCCAAATCCTAAAACTATTTATTTTAACGTGATTTATAATTTATTATAAATTTCGATTTTTATCGAAGTTAAAATTAAATGAGAACCTATTTTTTTTTTAGAGTAAATTAAAATTAGTATATTTCTCTTTGATTTTGACAGATGTCAAAAAGATATTAAAAATACTAATTAAGCAAAAAAAGGATAGCGTGATTATTAAGTTTAAAATAAATAGTTTTAATATTTTTTTATTTACAATGAATCGGGGCTAGATGGAATTCAAAATATTATTTTATTGAATGACTGAGTCAGATTTCAAATTTTGCGCGCTTTTCCATGTCAAATTCGGCGCGGTTATGTATCCCTTCTAAAATAGAACTCAAATTATAGGATTTTTTTTTTAAATTAAGCAATTCAGGGGAAAGTTGATCGAAATAACTCTTAAAATATTGTACTATTGTGTTCCGCTTTTACCTTAAAAGGGGAATGTATTTTTCACCCTCGCGATTCGGTTGAAGTTTTAATATTCCATAATTAACGGCCATTTTATTAGCTTAATAATTACCAAAATCTACCCTTAAAATTAATCACGGTGTTCCTAGATGACCCTTGAGTTTCCTAGGAATTTTACATTTTTTATTCATTGCAGTTTTTAAATAAATTCTAAGCGTTATTTGAGAACGATGTTAAAATTAAAAGTGAATAAAAAATTAATACGTTCGGGCACTTAAAGACCTGCGGGGCTTCACCATGAAAGGTTAGACAGCGTGGCCCTTACGTCTTGGGCATAATGATAGCTCTTGGCCTTACAAATGTTTGTCTGCGTAGTTTGCCAAATCTGACCCTAACTACTCATCATTTGCCACCCCCGAAACATTGTAGTACAACAAATGTGCCGCCTATTTTTTGAAGAAAAGACCGCTCTAGCGAACTTCGGCGGGAATTCAAGTGGACCCTACCAGAATGTTTTTTATTTAAGGCAAAAGGGTATCAATTCCGAGATGCGGATCAAATTGCATTTACATCTTCGGTTCTATGCCAGACAAATTCACAACCGATTTTTTTAATTAATGTTTTTAAATCGATAAATATCTTGTTAAATGTTTAAAATAAAAATCAGCACAGTAAGTTATTTCTCTTAATTCTGTATAGATCATTATATTCCGAAATGCAGATATGGGGAACCATTTTTTAATTTTATTTTATGGAATTAGACATAAGGTGATAAATTTATACGTGTACTTATTTCTTATAGTACTATAAATTACGTTCTAATCAGACAACTATCTTGAATTTCTAAAGAAGATTTAGGATGGGTGTCTAAGTATTTTCAGCAGCATTGGGGCTAGTAGTACCAAAAAAATTGAAACTGTAACATTTTTGAGACTAATAATTTTTAGCAGCATTAATATTTGATTACAACTATTATGCCCGATCCACTTCCATAAATTAAACGCTTGAAAGGTAAAGGATACCTATCTTTAAACAACGATAGCGTTTTAAACGAAGAAGTGTAGTACAGGACAAGCGTTGTTGGCTGCATTTGAGCCGATTTTTATAAACGGCTAACTCAATATTATATCTCGAAAAATATTATGCAAGCCTTAAGATTTTTCTCTTGGACATCTATTAACGAAATCTCGAGTCTTGAACAATATTTTTCTGGCTTAATCGAGCAATTTAGCAACACTAGATAAGGTTTAGTCCTCTAATTAAAATGATTTTCCACAAAAGATTAATAATAATTTATGTTTTTTAAATTAATTATTAAAATTTTTATACACGAATTTTTTTAAAAAAAAAATGCGGTGGGAAATTCATTTATGTTATCCAATTATTATGACATTTTTTTTATGTTTCAAATACAAAACATTAAGATTTTATAAAAATAATCTTTGTCTTGAAATAATCTTTGTTTTGGCGCCTATTTTGTTTCTTATCATTCCTTATCCCGTTCTTACTGGCCCCACTATTCTTAACGCTTTTTTTTCCAATTGGAGAAGGGGGGGGGAGTAATAAGGAAATAACTCTTTACTCAAGAAAAATAAAATGGAAAGGTATAAGAGAGAAAACAGGTATAGCTCTAAGATGTGTGTTAAGAGGTTATTAAAACACATTTTTTATTTTTTTTAAAAAATATATATTTATTTATATATATATTTAATGACTTAAAAATATTTTTTTTACAATCCATAAATTACCGGAGAATAATTAACAAATAATTTAATTTTTTCTTTTTTTAAAAAAATAAAAATATTACATACTTTCGTGAACGCGAGACGCTAGGAAAGTGAAAATTTTATTTTTTTAATGTGTTATCGAATTAATTAAAAAAAGTTTTACTCTTTTTATGTTTTGGTTATATGCGTTTTTCTTTTTTTTTTAAAAAGAAAATTATATTATTATAAATATGCGCAAAAAGTTGTAAGATTAATTTCTTTTTGCTTAATTGGTAATTAGATTAATATCGTTTATTTGTATTCGAGTTTTGAAGTTATAAAAAAATATCTACGATAGTTCCGATGTAATGTTGAAAATGTTATCAAATCTATTCGACACCTTTAAAGGGTTCGGTTATCTAGATGGATTACTTTTTTTAAATTTAAATATTTAAATCTGATATCAGGGCGTTGTAAGAATTCGCTATTGGAAGGAGGCGGGGGCTAGAAGTTCTTGAGAATATCTTAAGTTTCAGGAATTTATTAGGAATAGTAACTTGTACATTTTTTTTGAGCATATAAAATTTGATATATATATATAAATTTTAAATCATATTTAAGATATAGAATAATGCACGAAATTATTCTTAAGAATTATTGCATTGTATATGTAGTATTTGGGATATGGAATTTACTAAGGGCTATTTTTTTTTATATTTTAAAAAATATTATTTGATAGGAATCGTATTTCAGCATGTGTAGATTACCCGAACTTCAAATTTCAAACAATTTCGCCACGAACTTTAGATTAACCCCCTAATTTATATTAATTTTTTTTGTACGGATTTTTCATATAAATTGCAATTGTTGGCTGTTTCGTACCGAATTTTAAAATATGCTGTATTGTTTTATATTCTTCGCGGAGATATTCGCACAATAATATCGCCAGTAAGCAATATTATGAGATAAAAAACATTTTTTTAATGCAAGTCCAGTCTACTCAATTCATTTTGCACGAAAAAAATATTTCAAATTTATGCGCTAACCCGCCCGCTTATTGTTTCCAAAATAGTTTTAAACAGCCCGTTGCAGATCTCTCTTCCAGGGCTTTATATTTATCTACCATTTTAAAATTTCCCATCAAAGCATTAGAAACTTTTCAATGCCAAACTTAGGTAAAAGATTTCAAAAAATAATGATATCGATTTGATTGAGACTACGAGAATAGCTGAAAGAATTATACTGGAACTTAAGGATTTTAGGGCAAATGTAGATGACGAATTTCATAAATTATGAGTCATTGTTGAGTCAAAAGCAGAGCTATATGAATTTAATATACGTCTACCTAGATTCGCAGCAAAGCAATTCTAATCGTTCAAATATATAAGGTCAGTCAAAGAATACTATAAAAAATAATCTTTATCCTCCTCTTGGATACTTTTATAACTCAAATATATGAAAGATATTTGATTAATCAGACAGCACTTACAAATTTGCAAATATTTTACAGCCGAATCCTTCCTAATCTATTTCAAAACTTGATAGCGAAAAAATTAGAATATTTGACAGATTTCTATTGCGAGGATGCTAAAATATCCCATGATGACTCAGTGTAAAAGTGAAAATGTTCCAAAAAATGTTTTCGCATAATTTCAAACACATTTTAGATATTTTTCTAATGTATACAAATTATTATAATATTTTGGTAACCCTACCCAATAATGTCTCTACCAATGAAAGAAAATTTTCTTCTTTAACAAGAATAGAAAACATGTATGAGAAGTAGTGTGCTCAATATTTTAGCAAGAAATATATTGCCCCTCGAGAGATTTAGCTACTAGATATCTAAACCTATGTGCCTCATCTATGAGGAGAATTAAGCTTGCGTAATAAATTTTTGGATAAAACATTGAGTAAGCCGTTTTTAAAAACTAAGCCAATTAACAACAATAGAAAGTAGTGGAATGGGTGTTAGCCCTTCTTAATATACGTAGAATGTTGACACCGTGCACCGATAAAAATCCCTGAAGAATTAGCTCAATCTCAAAGAAGATTGAATGTTTTAATAAATTTCAAAATCTGATCTAACCGGAAATGTATTATAGCATGTATAGAGTATTTACCAGAGAATGTGGTATCTATATCTAGATAGATTTTTGATTAAAATATCTGTATCTAGATATTATTTTAGACGATGTATCTGTATCTAGATCCATTTAAAAAGTATTTTTTAACAACTCTGGTATTTACCCTATAATTGCCATCATAGAAACATTTTAGAATCTCGCTTATATCTCTTAGAAAATTATTTAAAGTAAATTTGAATTGATATTAATAGACGAAATAACATCATTGTCCTCAATTTGATTCCCAAATTGGGAATATGGAGAATATTTCGTCCATTTTTGGAGATTTTTTTTAAAAAACTTAATTTAAATAGATGTATTTAACTTCCCTAGCATCTTATTAATATCGATTTCAAAGATTGTTGTAATTATCCAATGACAATCATGTAATGTTTAAATGTAGATGGGTAGATTACATATTTATTTATATAATATTATTATAATAAATATAACAAATTTTTGACAAAAATAATCGAGATTTTTATAATTTATTGCCTACTTGCAAAAAAAAGGAATATTTTGAGCGGGACAAGAAAAACAACCATAACCAAAAAACTTTCATGAAGATGGCGCAATTCGGGATGCTTAACATTCAACTCATCATAGAATTCAGCAAACGGTTGCCCGGCTTTCAGACCCTAAACCGCCCGGACCAAATTACTATACTCAAGGTTTTTCATTTTGTATAAAAAACATACTTTACATTTTAAGATTAATTCGCTGATTTAAAATATAACGATGTCATGTATTATATGCAATATAATCGCGCATAGGCATGCATGTACGAGGTGATGCTCATCAAAACGGCTCGGCGTTATGACCTCAACACTGATACCATAGTTTGCTGCGATAACCGACCCTACACCCGGGACAATTTCAAAAACTCTGGCATAGTGGACGTTTGCGATTCCATGTTCGATTTTTGTCGAGGCATGGCCACCCTGAAAGTCGATAATGCCGAGTACGCATTACTCACGGCGGTGTGCTTGTTTCAAGGTGCGATTACATTTTTTTTCCCCCTCTTCTCTTTATCCCACTGTAGATCAGTTTTACTTTTTTCCTATTCAGAGTCTAGCTTCCTTTTTTTTAAAGATTCCTTCCAATTTTACTAGGGAATTTATTTTTAAAATCTGATTAAGCTAGAAATGTATTTCAGTACAAGAGGAACCCTAACCCTTATATATAAAGGTTCGGTGATACGGTTCAGTTGGATAAATTAAAAAGGTTACGGATCGATTGCGATTTTAAAAAGTTTACCATTCGATTACGGTTTTAGAAAGTTTACGATTTGATTACCTTTTTAAAAATATTCGATTCGAATACGGTTTTAGAAAATTTATATAGGTTTATTCGCGTTTAAAAAAAATACATTTTTACTATGTTATATTCATAGTTATGGTCAGCCATATTCAAATAATTTTTATCAAGTATGTGGGCAGCAATGTGTTATTTTGCCAACTTTAAATCATTTATTTTGAGCGCGTTTTCTTAAAATTTAAAAATCTGATCTTACGTGAATCTAGCATGTTTAAAATATCTATCTTATGAATTGTAGACAATTTTGCTGTTAACCTTTGACTCATTTACAATTTACATTTTTAAAAAAAAACTATGGAAAAACAAATATAAATTATATTAAATACAATAGCTGAGAGCCAAAATTGTCGGAAATTTATATGGTATATGCCTTAAAATCACAAAGAAATGGCTTGAAATTCACAGTTTGCCTTAGTACTTTATGTGCTGGAATCCATTTCTGGTCGAAGCCTTCACTAAATTATTCGAATTCGAGAGGCCCTGATTCTCCGTGATGGAGAAAAAAAAAAGTGGATGTCTATACGTAATTTTCATACTTTCCTATTTAACTTCAATCCCTCCTTCATTTCTTCACATTTCTTGTGCGCAGCATGGCTCTCGCCTATCAATCAAGCTCATTTTTTTTATATCATTTGTGCCCGACATTTTCAAATAGCTTCCTACTAGGGCTGTGCCAATCCATAGAATATTTTTTCCTATCCAAATCACCCCAAACAGTTCCTATAGTTACAGGATCAATTTTGGGCGAATACCGGACCGGATGGATTTGAACTGCTCTCCTTCTTTCTAATAAAGACTCGACATATATTTCTATTTTGCGTTTTTTTCTACTTTTCAATTCTTGCAAATGGAGAATTTTAAAATTCTCTCTTTCTCTACAATAGCGAATATTTTAAAAGAAACATTCATATCTAAGGTTTTTTTTATCGAAGTCTTATCTAATATATAATAATATTTTCGATTTAACCCCTTCCCTCTTTCCTCACTCTTCAAGCGCAAATTGTATATTACTTCATAATCCAAAGGATTTTTTAAATGAAAAACTTCAGTAAATAATGTGATACAAGTTGAGAATTTTCTTACGCTCGCATTTTTGCATCGTTAAAAAAAATTTATTTTCCCTCATCTTGACAATAATGTGTCAGGTCTTCCGTTAACCTCCTATAATGATATCATTTAATATCGTGAATTGATTTATATTTTCAGTCATCTCGTGCGATTCTAAATCATAACTAAATTCTTTTATTTGTTATTCTCAATGAATATGACATAATATAAATTATTCTGACAAATCCATTTTTTCAACAATAATAATCATGTTCGCCCTTTTTAGAACGCCCCTCCCTGATAGAACCCCGCAAAGTGGAGTGGATTCAGGAGTACTATCTCGATACGCTTCGTTCTTACGTTCAACATAGGAGACCCGCCGGCTCCAACACGTTGGCCAGACTCCTGGTAAAACTCAGGGACCTGAGAGAGATAAACAACAGTCACAGTAGTATGCTGTACAGTCTGAAGGTCCAGAATTTCCACATACCTCCACTCATGGCCGAGGTTTGGGACTTAACGGATGACATTCTTCCTTCCCCCATTCACCATAATGGCCTGCCCGTTTCTACCCACGACCAGAGCTACCAATATCAGTTTGATTGCAAGCAAAATTATTCGCCCCCCTTTCCCAATCCTAGCCCTCTCGACTTTCGGAAACTTGAAGGCGGGGGAGATGTCAATTTCGAAGGCAGCGACTTTATCGGCAATTTTAATGGCGGCGATTTAGGTAATTTTGAGTCATCTAATTACGCGAGGAACAATGGTACTAACCATGCGAACCATTTGAACGGGTACAAAAACGACATTAACGGAGTAGTCGAAAATGTCAACAATTTAAGACCGTCTAGTAATGATTCCATCAATTCCAATAGATCTAACAACTCAATCGCCACCCAACACAATTTGGGGAGTATGGAGGATAAGTTACTCCAAAATGCTAATCATCATCACCCCTTCGATTTCGGTGTTCTTCGTTCGTAAAAAAATAAAAATTATACAATAATCAATTATGAATTTTTTTTTATTCATCCCCCATTCATATATATATAATATATTTTATATATAAGCAAAAAAAAAGCCATTAGAAATTTTTTTTTTTGATTTCGCGAATTTGTGGAATTATTTATAAATTTTTTTTTAAAAAGAAATATATATATTATTATTATTATCACTTACCAACCAGCTAATTTTTAAGTTGTGATTTTTTTTTTAAGGTTTGGATATTTTTTTATATATATATATATATTGATTATATCTTTTTTATACAGAATTCTTATTCAACACCGTGTCGCGGTAATTTACGCAATTTGCCATTTACAAAAAAAAACATATGTATTATAGAAAAACGAATTATCTCCTTTTTCCTTACTCTTTTTTTTGGAAATATTATTAACTTGGATTTTTTTTTCTTTAAAAAATTTTTTTTTTAAGTATTTAGTAAAGACCCTAAACGGGTTCTCCATAATGAAAAAGAACAAAAAAAAATCACTGTGATTTTTAAACCGAAAATAAGTTCCCCCGCCTCCTCTCCGCTTTCGCCACACGCAAGATGTGAACAAACCTCTTCGGTATTCAGATTTAGCGGTGGCGCCCGTACCTTAGAAAAAATTATTATATTTTTTTATAGTCCCAAATTTTACTTCTTTATTTTTAAATCACCAACTCTATCAAAATTTTTTTAGATCCAAAAGTTTTTTTAATTCATTATATTGGGAGGCGTACAACAAATAAATTTTTATACCCCCCTTTCCTCCCATTATCTATCTCCCTCCCCCCTTTCAATTTTATATATAATATATTATTACGTATATATAGCATTTATAGGCCTAATTTATAAGTCCTCTTTTTTAAAATTTAGTTAGTGCCCGATCTACCCCTCAAAGGACGATACTTATTGGGGTATTATGGACACTTAAATTAGGTTTTAGGAATTGCTATTGTATATAATAATATTGGTTTCTTAAATAAAAAAATTTTTTTTTAATAATTTTTTTATTTTTTATATACTATAAAATCAACGAAAAAAAATATATTATAAGATTATGGAAATTTATATTTAAAAATAATTAATTTTTTTTTAAAAAAAAATAAATATTATATTTATTATTAACGAGAAATCAACCATTTTTTTTAACTAAAAAATATTTATAAAATTTTTTTATTTTTGTCAAAATGAAAAGAATTATGGATTTATTTATTGTTTTTATATAATAAAAAAAACTTTTTCTAATAATTTTTTTTTGTTATGTTGAGATTTTAGAGATAGTATTGTTAACATAGATCCCAAAAATCCGTGTTACCACACCTTAGCATCTACGAATACCAAAACCTTTACAAATATGGCATGGGCCGATACAAATAAATAACTGTATATATATTGAAAAAACCAAAGATTTATTATCCTATTCATACGAATAAACAAATAATTCAATTAAAAAAAAATAGATCTTGGATATTAATTTAGTACACAAATTTTTTTTAAATAAATTTTATAGCAAAATTTATTAATTAAAGAAATGTTAAAAATATCCGTATTTATTCACAATAAAAGTATTGGAGTTTTAACTAGTCACAAATAATAAATTTAAGAAATCGTTAATTTGAGAAATGGAAATTACGTGAATGAATGAATGACATATGTTAGATTAAAAATAATGTAGAGAAACTAGATCAGTGTTGATGGAATGCGAGGGTTTTGATATAATTATATTTATTCAACTATTAGTAAAATATATATATTATAGTAAAATCAAGTTTATACAAAATAACATAGCCGCTAGATAATATAATAAAGTTTGTTTTAATTATAGAAAACGTAGTTGAAATTGGTATTTTAAATAATACTACAAATAACATGTGATTTTGATTGACAATTCGCTGAAACAATTATTGGGCATATTTATAGTACTTAATTTTCGCTAGTAGCATGATAATTTTGCTAATGTCCATAAAAGTCATTATAAAAATCAAAAAAAAAATAATTCTTTAAATCCCAGAAAAATATAAAATATTTGATTAGTGTCTATGTCTATCCTGACAAATAAAAACGCCTTTGAAGTTGAAGGGAAAAGTTTAGATAAGCTGCTTGAGATGTGTATAGTTTATGGCAGCGAAACATGACATGGTAATGAAAGTGGCTCACAAAGATAAATGGAAAGCGAAGATGAAAATAAAAAAATAGCCATGATGGGAATAGAAGCGATTGAAATAGTAATAAGGATAGACTGAGATGGTTCAGCCATGTGGAGCGAAGGACGACTGGGTAAAGATGCACCAAAGAAGAAAGAAGATTGCCAAATCATTGAAAAATTAAGCGATTATTTAAATATTCACTAAAGTTTACAATTTTTAAAAATAATAATTTAAATTTATTTGTCAAATTTTTCTATTCGAGTCGAAATTTATTATTCATAAATATCAAGTAATTTAAAATTGGCCTACATAGCCCACATAAATCTTTACCATTCTTATGAAATATCTAAATGTGCCTTCAATGAAGGATTTACAAATAAAATCAAAATCACGTGATTATCCATTTCTATGGTATTGCTCCTAAATCACCTACCTTTATCCAACTCTAATACAGCTTAATCAAGATTTTAGCCTAAAAATGATTCAAACTTCTAAGTTGCGTCTCAACCCAAACATTGAGACGACTTTCGCTGTTTTGGAGTTAGCTAATTGACAATGCCATAATCCAGTTAGCTATCCTAGTGTAGGCAAGAAGGAACTTCGCATGTAAGACAAACTATTTTTTCTGGAAATAATCAGGCTGAGTTTTTTATCGGAGCTTGGTAATTTTTCATTCTTTCAAGTATTAAATTTTTGACAATTATTTTAAGGAATAAGATCATGTCCTGGTTCGACTTATTTTCACCCAACTATCTAGCTTCGACTAAAAAGTATGTATTTCAATATGCCACTCATTTAATTTTCTAAATAAAGATTGTACAATAATCAATAAAGTAAATGAAGTACATATATAATATTAAAAATTGTTTTTTCTTTCAAAGGACAAATTTTTTTTTTATAAGACAACAAAATATAAAGCCGCCTAACACTTAAAATAACCAAAGTAGTGTTCTAGTTCAAAATCTTCTGCCTAGTCTAAACAGAAATAAGTCAAACCACGGCCCGATCTATATAGTGTTTATGTAAGAAATAAGTTAATTATTTACCTAAACACCAAAATACTGTGGACTATAATCTGTTTAGAGGCATAATTGCTTACGATAATTAAAATTAAAATTTATTGTGCTCATATAATATTTAATAAAATAGTATTCTAATTTATACATAGTCGATTTTCAAAAATCCATACTTTTATTTAAAATTTTTTTTTAGGGAAATTGTAAATAAAACATAAAGTCAGATTTGCTTAAACTTTATAAAAATCTATTTTTTTTTGGTCAATTCATCCTCGGTCTTGGGTTTGCTTGTATCATTACATTAGATCTTACAGCTGTTATAGGCTCTCTCAATCGCGGTGGAGGCAGATTAGCGGTGCTCGGAGGAGCTTGCCTTTGCGGAGCCTGAGTCGGAATTGGTCCTCGAACAAATCTATCCCTATTGATCGATTGTTGTAAAACATTTTCACGGGAAGAAAATAAAATATGATTAGATTTCTGAAAATTCTGTTGAAATATGTGGGAAGATTAATATTTGTTTTTATTTAATAATAATAAATACAATAAACCTGTTAATGCCTGTGTAAAATTGTCTTCCAGGTAGTGCGTTATCGCCAACGCGCTGGGGCGGAGGCCCCCTCTCTACCAAATATCTTCTCATGGGATAGGCTTCAGGATAAGTGAAACGTTGCGGAGGAATATTAGTAAAAGAAGTATAAGGTATGGGTGCCATTCTAATTGGAGCAGCAGCTCTTTCTTCTTGGGGGACAAAGATAGATGGTGTTCTTGGTCTGACTATCACTTGAGGTGTCCTGCTTCTCCTGGGTTCCTCATTGACCGAACTTATCCCAGACGGTTGTGCTTGCACGGCTACCTGGCGATATCTATTGTCCATGTTCAGCCTGTAAATATCTCCTCTATCCTTTGCACCGATCGGAACTTTAATCTTTGGCCTTTCATCTTTCTTGGCGGCATCTTTTTTTATCTTATTCGCCATCGCTGCCGCCACGCTTGGGGGAATGAGCTCAGACAAGGAATCGACCGTTATACCAGTGTATTTCCTCAATAACTGTTTTGTTATTTGTTTTTCCATGATGCGTTCCTTGGCTCGCTCGTTTTTGTAGTTGTTGAACATGGTTTCCAAATTTTGGGCTATTTTCCTGGCCTTGTCTCGCAGATCCAAACAATTTTTGGCCTCCCTTTTCAGCGTCTGCTCGAATTGAATGGGCGTCATCTTGCTTTGAATACGGTGGACCGATTGGATAGCTTTTCCCTGCAGTAAAGTGGGCATGGGATCTTGCCTTGTTAGAGATTCTTTATTTTTCCTCCAATAATCGAAGGTATTACAAGGGCGATTTATGATCCATTTGTTGTCCCCGGTATCATCGTCTGATTTGAGTTTGTCGAATATGTTGACATCCGCTCTGGCGTTATTGTCCAACCACAAGCTCAGAAGTGTTTGCATTGAGAGGTAAGGAAATTTATCTCGTAACAGTTGCAATTCAGGTAAGATATTTAACACAGTTTCTTCGTTCCAATCATTTCCTATTTTTTTTTTAAAAAAAGTAGATTTCAGGGACTATAACTAAAGATGTCATAACTACCACATTTGAAATCCGCACCCTAGCGAGAAATATCCCCCTCCCCCCAACAAAATTGGGGTGAATTTTTTTTATATATTCTCTTGCATTTAAAAATAAATTATAATTTTGATCAATATTCCCCCTAAATTTAGTTATTTTTTTTTAAAAGTATTTTATATTTTTTTAAACTAATATTATATTTGTTTCATAAATATTACATTTATACATATTCTTAAACTACTTATTGGCAAAAAAAAATTACTAACCTATTATTTTTAGCGTATGAAAAAAAATGAGACAATCATCGAAATCAATCACTCTCACTCAACTTTATAATGTATCACGTGATAAAGTTATGATTGCATCCAAAGTAGACGGGCTGTTAAAGAGCCGGATTAGGGTCGATTTTTAAAAATGACACCCTATTAAGATCTTAGCCAAAATAATACTATGTAGGCCCCTAGAAATGTGGCAAAATAGTGATCCAAACCTGGGTGAATTTTAAAAAATGACATCCTATTAAGATCTTAGCCAAAATAATACTTAGTAGCCTAGAAATTTGGCAAAATAGTGATCCAAACCTGCGTGGATTTTTACAAATGACCAAATTAAGATTTCAGCCAGAATAATACTACTATGTAGGCCTCGTGATGAGGCAAGTGGTCCAAACCTTTCTACCCATCTATGAGCAAAATCTCGGGGTTTGGGTAATATGATTTTGGCTGAAATCTTAATCTGGTCACCCGAATCGGGTTTTCTGACAATCCTAATCCAAAGTTTGTAAATCTGCACTAATAAAAAAAAATGGTTCCCTTTTCCTAAAATTTTGAAAAAAAGTATATTTTGGTAACTTGGCATCTTTCTAAGGATTTCAAACTTTTTATTTCCGGTTTCCAAACTGTTAAGGACAATCAAAATTTTTTTAACAATATACATATATAGGTCGAGTAACATTTTAAACAATACTACCCTAAATCGTATTAAGAACATCGGACCAAAAAAAATAATCATTTTTTGTCATTTGGTATTGAATAAAAGTACATATACTCTTAAAACTAATCAATCTACAACATTTAAATATTATTTGACTGACATTTGATATCATGTAAAGTTATATACATATATAAATATAGTAAAAATACGAACTTACATTTATTATCAATTTATGTGATATATATATACATTATTTTTAAAAACATTGATATTTATGATAAAAATTTTCAAGCTGATATTTAAAAATGGCAAATTCACTTTTCTATCTGGAAAAATAATGCAAGAACTGATCATTTTGCACATACTTGGAATTTAGATTTGGGCATCTTTTAGCCAAAATCTCGAAACATAGGCAAATATTTTTCTGGCTAAAATATTGAGTTAGCCATTTGTAAAAGCCGGCTAAAATCACGCCGTAGCAGCACCTAACTTGTGATAATCATTAAACATAAAAACAAGACGATACAATCCTTTAACTTATCTGAAAAATTAGAAAATTCAAGTAAATGGCTATCAATTTAACTAACGAGTGTCAAGTGGTGTTCATTTTAATTTGTATACTATTTAAATTTAAATATCTTTTAAAATAACTATTTATATATCATTTTTAAATTTACTTTAATATAATAGGGAATGTTTGAAACTTCTATGAGATTTAAAAATTAAGAAGATCTCCCACCATTCTCTA